ATAATATATATAATATATATAGGACTTTGTCCTATTCACTTAAAGAAAATAAAAACACTTTAAAATGATTTTCTTCTTATAAGTGAAAAAAATAAAATCAAAGACAAAGAAAATAAACAATAGAAAAGTTTTTTTTTCACCAGGGTGACCCCTACAATAGTCTACACCCACGTCATGTGGGCCTCACCTCGGTCCGTATAAAAGGGGAGGACGGACCTGAGTTCAGCTCCCAATAGCTTACTTTTTCTTCAGCTACGGAAGCCGGTGAGGCCCCGATCCTTAGAGGGCTGCGCTTACACTCATAGAATCTGGGGTTACAATACGTAACCAACGTTCTATTTCGTGTAAGCTCCGCCTTCTAAGGCTAACGCAGATGGGTATTAGAGGCGGAGCCTGATGTAGTCTACACCTCACCGGCTTGACATACTCGTGAAGCTCCCGCCCAAAAACACCCCTTGTGATGTTGCATAAGCAAAAGGCAGCAGCAACAGCTGATTCACATAGTGAACAGATTTGCATGATCCCTTGTGTCCATCACATGATCCAGGTGATGTGAAGAAGAGACAGCACTGTGTGTGCAGTATCACTTCAAGCACAAAGGTCATTATTTGTCCAATAATTAAGACAAAATATATATATTACTCTGACAAGGTCCTGAGAACAGAGTGAGTCAGAGAGGGGCCCGAAACATCCCGTAGATAAAAATGGATGAAAGGGCAAGGGGATGACCAGGAGGCTGCAGAGCAAATATCCTGGACTGATACTCCACTGTACAGAGCAGTGGAGGAAGAGAGCCCCCWTGTGGGATGAGCTGACAGTACAGCTGGAGGCTGCAAACCTGATGAGATGTAAGCCAGCAACATCGCTTCACAAATCCAATGTGACAGCCTCTGAGAAGACAAAGGTTGTCCTGCAGACTGCTCTCTGTAGTGAACAAAYAAACACTGAGAGCGCCTGATCTGTGCTGTGCGTGACACATAACACAAGAGTGCGCGCACGGGACATAGCAGGTGAGAAGCTGCTTCCTCCTCCGAACTATGAGGGGGAGGACAAAAAGCCGCTCAGAGTAATAACTCTGGAGCTGTAAGAGCTTGTGATGCTCTTAGGCATAAAAGCCGGGTTGGTGCGCAAAGTCGCAGAGCCGCCATCTTCCCGTATCCTGAGACAGGAGGGAGACACTGACAGGGCAGACAGCTCGCTGACTCTCTTTGCTGATGTTAACGCTAACAGCAGCGCTGTTTTTTGAGATAAAAACTTTAATGAGACCTGATCCAAAAACTCAAAAGGAGCTTTAGTCAAAGCGTGTAGCACCAGTGTTAAATCCCACTGTGGTACCAGTGTGCGCGTGACAGGTCTGCGCCTACACACTCCTTTTAAGAACCATTTTACCAACGAATGATTAAAAACCGTCCTGTCACCAAAACCCACGTGACAGGAGGAAATTGCCGCAGCATACGTCTTAACGGTGCTGAAGGCTAAACCTCTGTCCATCAACATCTGTAGGAAAGACAGAATGCAGGACAAAGAGCAGGAGACTGGGTCTGCATTTTTTTCTACACACCAGCGCTGAAAGGATGACCACTTAGCTGTGTAGGATGAGACTGTGGATGCTGCGCGCGCATCCTGGATGGTGCGCACCACATCAGCAGATAAACTTAGGTTTACTAAGCGTTCCCGCTCAGCAGCCAGGCCCAAAGGGGCTGGTCCAGTTTCGGGAAGCTCCTGATCGCTCCTCCCGCCTGCAGGAGAGCATCCTCCTGCCAGGGTAGCTGAAGCGGAAGACCTGACAGTAATGACTGGAGGACCGGGAACCAGTGCGCTCCCGTGCGCTCCAGAGCAATCAGAATAACCCGCCGGCGGTCTGCTCTGATCCGGTCCAGTAGTCGCGGGATCAGAGGGACAGGAAGGAAAGCATAAAGCAGCTTGTCCGGCCAGGGACGGTGCGCAAAGGCGTCCACTCCCAGAGGAGGGTCGTCCCGTGAGC